AACATCTCAGGTCATGTTGTCTTCTAGTGCCTTGATCTCCATATCTATTGCTTCAATCCACCTTCTGTCCTTTGAAGCTTCAGCAAAGTTCTTTGGTTCAGTCATTATGGAGATGTTGGCTAGAAAACTCCTGGATTTGTCCTTCAACTTGGCATAAGACAAGTAGTTGGATAACGGATATGAGGACCCCTGGCTACCCTTTGTGGTTACATAATCTTGCAACCATAAGGGTTCCATTGATGTCCTTTTTGATCTCCTTAGCTCATTGTTGCCCAGTTCTACAACTGGTGAGGCAATGAAATCATTTTGCACTGTTGATTGTTGTTGCCTTGGTGTCAACATCCTTACATCATCTGAACTAGATGCAGTAGCTTCTGCTTCAGACATATCTATGTTGTTGTCTTCTGCAATTGCTGAAGGGTGCTGCTAATCTTGTGCATATTCTTCTGTGTTGTCATCTTCCCAAATTGTTGATGAATGTTGCTCAATCTCATTCCTTCTGACATCAGCTGCTGTGAGAGCATCATGACATCTTGGCTCAATTGCCTCCCCTGAACCATTAATTTTAGTCCTCTCATATTGCAGGTTTGTATTGCTGAGAGGTTCAATTGCAAACATCTCTGTTGTTGTGTGCTCTCCTACAATTGGAACTTGAGAGGTTGGTTTTACAAAAAGAAATATATGTTCCTTGAATACTACATCTCTGCAAACAAAGAAACAGTTATTGGATAAATCCATCAGCCTATATCCCTTCTGTGTTTCTGCATATCCCAGGAATATTGTTGCCCTTGCTCTAGGTGAAAACTTATCCTCTTTGATCATGTTAGTAGCATAGCAGAGACATCCAAACACACTCAAATGACTCAAACTTGGTGTTTTGTTAGATAGAGCTTCATATGGAGACTTTTCATTCAACAATGCAGTGGGCAGTCTATTTATCACATAGACTGCTGCATTAACACACTCACCCCAGAATCTTGTTGGAACATTAGCTTGGAGCTTCATTGCTCTTGCTATATCTAGGATATGCCTATGTTTTCTCTCCACCACTCCATTTTGTTATGGAGTATATACACAATTGCTCTGATGAACTATCCCATAAAAATCAATCAATTTTGTCATGTGTTTATTAAAGAATTTTGTTCCATTGTCTGTCCTAATTATTTTAACCTTGGACTGAAACTGAGTTTGCAACATAGATAGAAACTTCTTAAGTACCCCAACAACATCACTCTTCAATTAAAGGAAATGTATCCAAGTATATCTTGTATTATCATCAACAATAGTCAGAAATAAGTGTTTCCTATCATGAGTTGGGTACTTATATGGTCCCCAAACATCCAAGTGCAAGAGAGAAAGAGGCTTCTCACTTGTAGTCAAACTCCTAGGAAACATTAGTCTACTTTGCTTAGCAAGAGGACATACAGAGCAGTCATTGTTTATTGTTATGTCTACTACTTTATTGTGAAAGAAATCTATATTCTTCATAGTACTAACTGAAGCATGGCCTAATCTTCTGTGCCAAAGTACTGCATCTTCCTCATCCTTCTTGGTGTTTGTGGATGCAAACTATTTTATTCCTTTGATGAATTTTTCCAAATCTCCCTTGAAATCTTTCTTCAATATGTACAAACCACCTTTTTCTCTACCAATCCCCCTCACTCTGCCAGTGTAAAGGTCCTGGAATAGGCAGAAGTCGGGAAAGAAATTCACTGAACATAACAGTTGTCTAGTTAGTTTAGAGACTGACAAAAGGTTGAATTTGAACTCAGGGACAAACAATACAGCATCCAATTCCTCCTTATCAAGAATGATTGCTTTACCAATATGTGAAACATTAGCTTTTCCTCCTGTGGGTAGATGAACCTGCTCATTTCTATGTGTGTCCACTTTGTCTTTTACTACTAAGGCCTCTAATTCACCAGCAATATGATGTGTAGCTCCAGAATCGATTATCCATTCTATATAAGGCAAGTTTGACATTAAGGATGTAGTCATACCTGCCATATTGGCTTGACATTCAGGAGTCTCCTTGTTCAGCATGTTTAGGATTTGCCTGTACTGATCTTCAGTGAAGTATGGCCCTGCCTTCAGTGCATCATCTCTGCCTCTCCCTTCATAATCATGTGTTGGTTTGTCATTTCCAAAGGCTCCAGCTATTATGTTTGTTGCATATGTTTTCCTATTTTACATCTGGATATCCAACAAGTTTATAGCAGTTCTCCTTTGAGTGGCCCGGCTTGTCGCAGTAGTCACACTTCATAAATGGCTTCTTTCCTTTGTATCTGTTGGCTTGGATTGTTGGTTGTCCTTTGCATGCCTGCATAGCAATGGGATCTCCTTTATTTCCTACAATCGAGTTAAAATTCTCAGGCATAGGCTTGATTTAGAGTTGGCTCTACAGTCTTCATCAAGATCTGTCTCCTTGCTTGATCACAAGTCTCATTGAGTCCACTCAAAAATTGCATTAGCCTTTGCTGCTGGAGTTGCTCAACATATTCCTTCGAATTAGGAATGAGCACCATCGCATCATATTCAGCCCATAGCTCTTTGAGCTTTGTGAAATATGTAGATACAGAATCTGTCCCCTGTGAAATAGTGGCTATTTCCCTATGCAATTGAAAAATCCTCACACGATTCACTTTGTCAAACCTTTCCTTCAAATCTTCCCAAACCAAATGCGTGTTAGATGCATACACAATTCCGCTAAGTAATTCCGGAGACACTGTGTTCATGATCCAGGACAGCACATTAGCATTGCATGTCTCCCAATCTTCATGTAATGCAGGCTCGAATGAGCTCTTTTTGCATGTCCCTAGCACAAACCCTAGTTTCCTCTTAGCTTGCAATGCAATTCGCATAGATCGATGCCATAAACCATAGTTTTCTGATCCTGTGAGCTTTATAGGAATCAAAATCGAGCTAGGAGTATCTGAAGGATGCACAAACAGAGGATGCGTGTGATCGATTTTATCAACTTATCAGCCGCCATTAACAGTTGTTGATCGAGCTTCCTGAGGAAGACGATATGAAAAAGAGAAAATTACTGTAGATCTAACAGAATTTGCGAAAGTCTAGATTTTACACTGCTCTGATACCATGTGAGCTTGATAAATCTGAGTACACACTTCAGATTTATCAATGGAAGCTTGAACAAAGCTCTGCCATGGCTGAGTGTAAATGAAGAAGGAGACTGTTACAGAGAAGAGAATGAGAAAATGATTCTTTATATATTGAAAGATAGGTAATTACAAATATATACTTCTAACTTAACTATAGTTGCAACAAGTAACTATAGTTCTAACTACCTAACCATGGTCAACTGGACCATCACTAACTACTAACTAACTATTCTTCACAACAACTTTTAAGAACTAAAATTTTAAGCCAATCAAATTCAAATCCTAGCTTCTCCTCAGTCCGCTAGGAAGTTGCTTTCATATACTGTACATACTCTATAGGGTATGAACTTTGAAGTTTGAACAATGCACTTTACAGATTATTAAAATTAGAGCCCATATTCTTTACTTATAACAATAGCTATGATTGCTAGAAACGTGGAAGAATAATCGAAAGCAAGCAAAGACATGTTAGGACCTTTCAAGTAAGTATCTATTATTGTTGTTTGAAATTATATATAATGTTGAACTCTATGCTGCCCCGGCAGCCTCTGTTTACTGTCCCCGCAGAAAAACACATCATACTCTACGTGAACAATATATTTTCATATATGAATTAATTATTCAGTATTATTACTGTGTAAGTAGTACTTAAAAATGCTATTTTTCTCTATAGCACATGACTGTTCATCAATGTATATCTCCTCGAGCCCTCCCACAAAGCTGAAGCAAATCTCTCGATGTCTGGGTCAACCTTACATTCGAATCATTCTGATCTCTTGTATAGCATAATTGCCGAAATCTTGGAACTCTTAAATAGCATGCTTATTCTAATTAGTGCTTAATGCATGCTTGAGGTAATTAGATTCTAATTACAGAGAAAGTCATGATCATCCTTTCCTTAAACAAATCCAGATTAGTAAGTTTTAAGGTGATTTGCATGTCCACAAATTTCCATTTTTCTTACAGTGTTTTCTGCTGAGCTTCTTAAAAGAATTTCACCTTTTTGCTCTTTTCAGTACTTTTTGACCAAATCTGAGTTATGGTTAGTAATAAGGAGAGTCTAATTGCTTGTCAATTTGTTGAACCCCATGTACTAAAAATAGGATTAACATTGACTAATTAATCGACTATTTATGGTTAGGCGCAATACGGAGAGTCTTTATTGTTTTTCTTTTTGGCCGAAAAGATACGAAAATGTTAGGTAAACGCATGTAGCGATGTCATATAATGTCACGCTTCAATTAAAAAATTCCAACAAATAGCCAGTTATTTGTTATTATATTCGACTTGTTGCACAAGTGATTATCGTTAAATAAATTGGTTCAAGTGGGCCTCTTGTTTAAGTTTATATTCTACAAAGTTTAATAGCAGAAACAAGAAAAACTTATACTAGTTGGTGTTTGCTTATTTGTGGCCAAGAAACTTGACATGCCCACCAAATTTATTCACGGAGTACGTCAAGCTTTTGTTCAGGTGAAATTTTGGTTTTTTAAATTTCAATGGACTCTATCTCACTTCTTAAGTTCTTCATTTGTCTTCCAAAGCTTCGGCACGACTCTATTGAGGATTTTCATCCCAAGACTATTTCCAACACTAAGGTATGCTATGCTGTGTGAAATGTGATTAACTATGTTTAAGTGTGTAAGTGAAAATAAGAGAAAGTTATTCAAATTCCCAATGATTTAATTTATGTACTCTTGACTATAAGACACTTTATACATAACTCAATCACTTCAGGGTCAATTACACCAAAAAAGGAAGAAAAAAAAAGTCATCTGGAAAGATGGAAACAGACGTACTACGTGTTGGCACAAATTGTTAGTGTAAAAATTCTTTACGCTAGCAAATACATGATATAAAATCCTTTGACAAATTGCATGTAAAAAGGAACTTTTTCCAGAAAACCAATACTCCTTTCAAGTTGTTCATTTGGTAGAGATTCATGTAACATCTACGGTTCTAACAGCATTTTTTTGTAACCTTTTCCTCTAAAAGAATTGCATACCTTGTGACTCTTACATGAATACACACGATCATAAAAGAATTGCATGTAGTGGTCCAATCTCTGCCAAATTCAATTCTAGAGCTGCTTCGAACAGAACAGAACAGAACATCTACCATCGAAACATGGAAGAGTTGTTTCAGAATGTGCTCCCATATCAGCTTCTTCCACTACAAAGCAACATTTACATTATGCATTCAGTACTGCACCTCTGCACTTAATCTATGCGAATGCCAGAAAGACCCATAAGACAAAAATGGGCTTTGGCAGCAGCATACCCTTGAAAAAGCATAGCACAAGCATGGCTGCCTTGACCATTTTATCCTACACATCTGAAGGGAACAAGCCTCACACCCACCCCATACCTTGAATAGAATAAGCAAATAAAATAACAAGAGACAGATTCTACAATAAGTCAATCAACAAACACATTCCTGTGAGATTTGAAAAAAAAACACTGAGAAAACATTACACATGAGAATGAGAAAGTAAAAGACAAACTGTCACGACATTAGGCGCCTTCTGTGTGTCGGGGCAATTTGTACCTTAAACTGGCTATTCACAGGGATAGTCTGCTTTAACCCTGCTGCTGTTGATTGGGGCTGCAAGAAGTAGAGTAGTAACAAGTGTAAAGAGATCTACAGATCAACACAGAGATAGGAGATAATGGATCCTGCTCTCCTTTTGGTCCTTGGGCTCACTTTCCATTTCTCAACAAGAACTTTCTTCATATTTGTGCAGCTTGTGATCACCGTGGCTACTCCAACAGCAGTAATACCGGGGCAATAGACCATGTGACAAGTTTCCAGCAAGGTACACTTGTTCACAAGATGACTTAAACCTACATCTGTTATTCGACGACAGTGGGACAGAACAATATCCCTCAACAAAGGGCATCCTTCACCTAGCTCCACCATGGCCGTATCCCCCAAATCCTGTCGAAAATTGGTTAGTGTCCTGTGCTGAATGAACATTAACAACAATTTTTTGCTCCTTCAAACATCTTGTATAAGGAAGCAATATGTGCGTGTGTTCAGTGTGGGAGCTAATCAATACAGATTCCTAATCCACTTATCAACTGGTGGTACTCGTAAGTAAGCAACCAACTTAGGCTATACCAATTAAGCAGTTTTAATATAATTTTTGTTACCTAATCACCTTAAATCAATTGATATTGTTGATAAATGAACCTAGACATGTTAAACATACACATATGATCTTCGCATCACATCCATTGTTTATCCCACTCTATAGAAGTATAAGTGGACATACCTGGAGAACACTCACATCCAAGTAACTAAGTTCAGGGCATCCTCTTGCTATGGCTATTATTCCAGCATCCCCAATTTGGTGGCAGCCACTTACATTCAAATGATGCAGAGAGCAACCTTCAGCAATAGCCACAAGTGCTTCATCCCCTACTCTGTAATCAAATAGAGGTTAATGACTTATTTGAGCCAAAACATCGGTAATCAGGTAGTTAAGTAGCGAGCCTTTGATCAAAAAGCAGTTTAAACTCTCTGCTGTAGAAGAATATAACTGGTGAACATTAATGAAAGAGAAGTTGTGAAGGCAAGGACCAACTAAATATAAATATAATTATTTGTTGAACCTCGCAATGTGGAACATTTCCAAGGGACCTAGTGCCAGGAAGCATTAAAAGAAGATGAAAATTGTGCCTAGACAAACTTCATCTTCAATGGACAAGCAACCTCTTGCAGCATCAGAGTCATCAATACAAACATTACCATGTCCAAAAGGATAAGTGCTAATTTCAAAGAGCATTCAAGCACAGATTTATATGACAATAGAAGAAGAAAGTAATGCACGCAATGGAGAGGTTGTCCCCAATTTTATCAGCAGAACACTTGATTGAGAAACAAACTAAAACTAAGGCAATGTTAGTTGAGAAAGAAAAACTGACATACCTATCACAGAACCGAAGGCTAAGGTCTGTAAGAAATTTACAGTTCTCACCAACAGCTATAATTCCCTTATTTCCGACCTATCAAACCAGATGAAAAGACCAGTATTATCAAACAAAATAATCGAGTTCTGGGCATCAAGTGCAAAGGATACTGCATAAGCCAGATTTCACTATCTTTATAGGGACAATTAACAGCTGCTGAAAAGAAAAACCGCTTTCCACATCGGATACTAATAGTGCACATGCCTCTACAGGAAACCTCATTCCACAGCTAAAGTGGTTCTCAAAAAAAATATAATTAAAAAGCCTGTCTAAAAGATTCACCAGCTAATGGATCAATAACAAGCATTAAAATATTTGAAAACATTACCAAGGGAACAGAAGAAAAGGATAGCTGCCAGATTCAACTCCAAACTTAGAATCGGATACTATTTTAAATTCATTAAGCAGTAAGCCCAATGTTTCAAAAGCATTGAGATACTTGCAAGAATATTAGTGGGTAACAGTTGTCTATCTTCTCCAACTAAAACGAAAGGGAGAACAAAACATTAAGAACCAGTTTAAACCAGTAAACAAATCTACAGGCGCAGCAGAAACATGTCAACTAACAAAAATCTGAATCTGATATGTTCATATTACCCTTTAGGCCTGGATCAATGCTCTTGTTTCGTCTGCTGATGTAATTAATTAAGAAGATTCTGATCTTGTTTCTGGGTCCGCAGTGTACATGTGCAGCACCATCTTGGTGCTGATTATCAATGAAATCTTTTAATGTTTACTGATTAAAAGAATATATGCCTCCAGCAATATGCAACAATGCATATGTAAAGGTATCTTGTGATTTACACACTAAAGAGCAAGAAGAGAAACCCTATCTAAGAGGAAATAATGAAGGAGAGCGAGATGATTAAAGTACCTCATAGCATCGACGGATGTGGAGCCTTTTGAGGTTACAGCATCCTCTAGCTATAGAACATATGGCTTCGTCCCCAATACTCGCACAATCTACCAAATGCAAAGCTTGCAAGAACTTGCACCCTCTTCCAATCTCGGACAATGCGAAATTACCAATTCTTTGACAGTACAGCAAGGCCAACTCAGAGAGATGCCTAGTTGCAAAGCCAAAACTCAAATTAGGACCTTCTCACTTATAAAAAATAAGAAAAAAGAACTCAAAATAGGGCCATGACAGAATTTTAAGAGGTAGAAACTATAGGTCAAGTAATGAATGAGACTCATGAATTTCATAAGGTTTAATAATAAGATGCGTCAAGCACAATGCAAAAGGCAGTGATCGGTCAATCTGCGGAACCAATCAACCACAATTCAACACTATTCTAGTCATAATAGATTAATTTTGTATCTTCATATTAAAGAAAATATTGATGGAAAAGAAAGACATTCTACAATGAAAAAAAGACAGAAGCTTATTTAAGACAAGAAAATCTGCCAACCGTGTATGAACACAAAAATTTTTTACTGCCCACATACTGTAAGCCAGTATGAAGTGGGTGGAATGTATTTTCTTTCAGCATCAATTCTCCAAGTCAAGAGATTCAGAACCTAGCTGAAAACATGGATGAAACCATCCCTTGAAGTTCGGAAGAAATTATACACCCTATGAGGTAACATTCTGATGGAAATAGAATAATATGATTATAGCATTTTGGAATGACTGAAATCAATTTGGTCTAATCTGGGATAACAACTTAAGTAGAAAATAATTTCCGAAATACTGTTAAAGAAAATGACACTCAAAATCTTATTTAAGCACTCCATAATTGATCTGCTATAACTGTTCTATGAAGCACTTTTTCATTTAATTTACAGAATTAAACTCAAGCAAGAATATTGCATTTCTATTTGATAGAATAGCAAATTTTCTATTAAAATAGCGCCTACATTTTAGGTGCAAAAGTAGGTCCATAAGCACCATTTTTAGCTCCATCTAAAGTGCTTATTTTTTCAAAACTTCTAAGTGTACTTCTCAACATTTACCAAATACTCAAAGAAGTGTTTTTCATGATAAACACACTTATTCAGCAATGCACCGCAAACATGACCTTAGAGAAACACAAAGGTTACAAGAATCTATCTTGATTTCAGTGAACAAAGATAAGGCAAACAAACACTCAACATTAGGTCTTTTCCCCCCTCTAAATAACTAACATTCAACACTAAGGTTTAAAGAAATTCAAAATAAAGCACTAGGCAAAAAGTGTACGTGCAAGATCTTGCAATAGACTCCAGTCCATATGTTCCTATATTGTGGCAGCCATTAACTTCAAGATGCGTGAGGCTGGAGCAACCAACTGCAACCGCCTCCAAGCCTTTGTCACTTAAGAAAGTACAATCATTCAAGGTAAGAGACTTTAACTGTTTGCAGCCTTTACCAATAGCACACAGACTCCTGAAGGAATACACAGAAAGATACAGGTCAGATTGTGAAAACCTCTCATCCCTCTTAACACATACTCTGTTAAATCTCCCCTAGCAAGTAATGCCACAAAAAAGATAGACATGCGCGCACACAATTTCATCCAAGTTACAGAGTTTCAAATGTAAAGATTAGATATTTAGATTGCATAAATCTGACCAACAGAAAAGCCAACAGTTAAAAAGAAATTATTTTTTAGGGCCTCGAATGCAGATATACAGTACAAAAGCTTACATGAAAATAGAAGTTATGATCAGGAGAATACCCTAGCTTGTAAACTTTTAGATATTTCAGTTGCTGATAAGTAAAAATAAATAAATCCAAATAGAAAAGATAATATAGAATAAACAACTAACCTGTCCGTAAATATTTGGAAACTGTAAAGAGCCAACAACTCCAACGACAAGCAGCAAGTGCCAACGCCTTGCAGAGCATCATCTGTAACATTGATGCATTGTAGCTTCAGAAACTTCAACTGACGGCATCCTTGGGCAACAGCAAGTACACCTTTGTCATGGATATACTCTGAGTCTAGTGACAAGGACTCCAGAGATTTACAATGAGATCCGACAGTTTCCAAGGAGGTGTCAGTTACTTTTGCACAGGCAGCCAGACTGATCGATTTCAATGTTTTACCACAACCAGCAACCAATTTAATCAAGCCTGCATCAGTTAGGCCTTCACAGAATCGCAAATTCAAATCTTCAAGTTGCCTGGAGAACTCCCCAACAGCTGCTAAACCTTGATCTCCAACATAACAGCCCTTTATAAGGAACAGGAAACGAAAGCTTCTAAGACCTTTGGCCCATCACGCACATCATATCATTCGATCCCAATACAGCTTGAAACAGATCAACAGATTGAACATGTGAAGAAACCAAAGTTCTAAAAGACCGGATATTTACCTGTAAATCCAAAGACTTCAAGGACATACACCTCTCAGCTATAGACCTCAGCCCCACATGTGTCACATTAGAACACCATACTAAGCTCAGGTTTTCAAGCTTAGTAAATCCAGCAGCAACAGCAGTCAACCCAGCATCTGACAAACAGTAAGATTCAGTTTCACTGTTTTCCGAGCCATTTGTTTCAGCCAGGGAGTGGATGCTGAGAGATGAAATCACAGAATGATCAGTGCCACGTCTTCTTCCCTGCAACGGTTGTACAAAACAAACAGTAAGTTCGGCGTTCAAGATGAATGTAGCTTCCAGGAACTGAAACGCAAAAAAATATTTGCAGTAACACAATGTCTAGCACCATCTGGAAAATATCCTAACAAGTGCGGAACAGGAGATACTAGGAGCTTGTCTCAAAGATACACAGCACTCTGCTTGCTAGTAAAATCATTAGCAATTTAATACTCCCAGTCAATGATATCAAGTACACACGACAATGAGATACACATATTCAATTAAAAGTTAATACACATCTTCACCTAGAAGTTAATTTTACGTATGGTCACTGATCTTTACCTTACCAGTAAAGTCACAAAACTATTTTATCACATGAAAATAACTAAACTTTACCCACTATAGCAGTAAAGTCACGAACTATCTTTTTGTCCCATTAAATAACTGAAATACGGGTGAGTTACACAGAAAATACAAATGATTCGAAGGTCAAATTTTCTGTGTCGGGCAATCATTTTTTTCTTTTTTCTTTTTTGTTTCATTTAAATATTTTTAATTGTCTTTTATTTCATGGAATATGCGGTAGCCAAAAATTTTACACAGTGGATTTTTCATTTCTGCCGTTTATATTCTCTGAACCAGAAATTTGATCTTCTACAACTTTTCATTAACAGGACTGATAGCTCTACATCCTTTTGGAGATCTGTATGAAAGAACAAAGTTGTATCAACAACAACTATGCCTCAAATCTCAAGCTAGTCAGGATTGATTATATGAACCGTCATTGGCCATTTCATTTCGCTCCACTTTAAAACATTTCATTGCAATATTCAATTGCTTGGGGCAATATCTTCATTCCAATTGCTGGATTTGGGGGGAAATTGATATAGACAATCTGCATAAGATAGAAGGCTGGGTAACAAATATTTACATGCATCACTGAAGTAGTTTTTGTTGATCACCTCTTAATTCATTGTCATGCAGTGGGATTTCTCATCTATGTTTCTCTCTTTTTGACATTGGATCAGTAACTCTGTTCAGTTCAAGTATGCATGAGTCCAGGGGTAAGGACGAACAGCAGGAAAATTAGATATAAGCAGTAGACTATGGTCCCCTGACAGGCTTATTAGCTAAATGAAAATTGGCACAAACAATACGCCCAGTCACTTCTCCCTGCCTCATGTGGACCTCGATGAATGAGAGAAATTATAGATGCATTGAGAACTTGCCAGAACCAGTTCCTGACCTGAAATATCCTTGCCTCAGATAACTCTTTTTTCGGTATAAAGAAGCTGGGCAGAAGGAATTCATTGTACAGCTCATTGTTCTTTTGATCCTAGCCGATTTTGTCCTATATGCTTCATCCTTTTGAGCGTCAAGCCATATGTTGACTCCGCACCTTGATGGTGCCCATCTAGCATATAATATCCTGTCTCATTGATTAAAAGAATATTTGCATCGCAGTGATTAAAAACGCGCTCGCTTCCTCACTTTAAGCGACAAGCGAGGCGAAGCGTGAGGGGGCGCTTCAGGTCTTTGAAGCGAGTCTGGTACCAAAAAGCGACCGCTTCTTTGTAAAAAGCGAGAAGCGGTGAAGCGAGAAGAAGCGTTAGAAGCGTCCGCTTCTCTGTTTAAAATACCCAAGCCCTATTTTATTAAAAAACGAGTTTCTAAACACTGTCTGAACTTCTTCAACAGCAGCGAGACTAGGGTTGTTCTTCAACAACAACAGCGATTTCTTCTTCTCTTCTTCATCTACTTCTGATATCTGAAACAATCTCAAAGCATCAACTAGGGTTGTTCTTCTTCTTCAACAGTACAGGCAGCAACGACTTCTTCTGATTTTCAAGAGGTATGTTCTGCACTTTTGATTTGCATTCTTCTTTTTTTTCTTTTTCTTTTTCTTTCTAAACGTCTAAAAAAGCGGCAAAATGCTGGCGAATTTTTTTCAGAAAATTTCTGCCCAATATTTCCAGTTTCTGCCCAAAATTTCTGCCCAATTTTTATATCCTTTATTGTTAGTTCTTATTGTCTTTCTTATGTGTTATGTAGTTGTTCTTTTAATGGCGCCAAAAGAAGATAGGAAAGACCCGGCTTGGGCTTACTCTGAAAGAGTTAACGAGACCAACAAGATGGCCATTAGATGTCTTTTTTGTGATAAGATTTCAAATGGGGGAATCTGTCGTCAAAAAGCGCATCTAATCGGTGGTGATCCAAATGTCGCATCTTGTCCTAAAGTTCCGGGGCATGTGAAGGAAGAATTGAAAGCATTCCTTCAAAAAAAAAAAAGAGAGTAAAAGACTCAAATGATTCATGACCAAGAACTGTATAATCTTGATGATGACGATTCGTCGCTTCCACCAAAATCACAAAAGCGGGGAAGGATGCTTCCACCAATGTCTTCTAGTTGTGGATCTAATGGCAAGACCAAAGGTCCTATGGATTGTTACTTCCCGCAAAAATCTGGAGATAAGGGAGGAAAAAGTGGTAATCCTCAAATTGATGCCAAAGCGATTTTGAGGGATCATGCAGTTACAATGTTTGAGCGGTGGATGTATGATACAGGTCTTCCTTTTAATTGTGTTAATTATACCGATACTTTTTTTGCTTTAATTGAGGCCGTAGGCTAATATGGTCCAGGAATGAAGCCTCCAACTTATGATGAAGTTAGAGCACCATATCTAAAAAAAGAGGTGCCAGAGGTGAACAAAATCGTGAAGGAGCACAAAGTAGAATGGAACAAGTTTGGTTGTTCCATTATGATGGATAAGTGGACGGCGAGAAATGGAAAAATGATCATCAATATCTTGGTGAATTCTCCTAAGGGAAGCCTGTTTCTTGAGTCCGTTGATGCAAGCGACTCTTCAACTGATTCAACCAAAATGTACTCCTTGTTCAAGAGTACGATAGACTCTATTGGAGAAGAAAATGTTGTTCAAGTTGTCACGAACAACGCCTTGAAAATGTTAAAGCTGGTGATTTGATGTCTACTGGGTACCCGCATATCTATTGGACTCCGTGTGCAGCACATTCCATTAATTTGATCTTCGGTGACATTTTCAAAAAAAGACCCTTCAGTACAGTCTTTAATCAGGCAATTAGAGTGCATTCCTATATTGTTCAAAGGCCTTTGTTACTGAACATGACGAAGAGATTCACTAAACAAAGAAATTTGGTGAAACCTGCAAAGACAAGATTTGCTACTGCCTTTTGACTTTGCATAGGATGTATGAGCAAAAAAGCAATTTGAAGAAGTTGTTTGTTTCAGATGAGTACACTAAGAGTGCCTATGGAAGGGAAGCTCGAGCGAGAGAATATGCAGATATTATACTTTCTCCTTCATTCTGGAACAATGTGGTTCATGCATTGAAGATTGGTGGTCCTTTAATTAAAGTGCTTTGTTTGGTGGATGGGGAGCAAAGGCCACAAATGGGCTACCTATACGAAGCAATTAATAGGGCAAAGGAGGCTATTCAAGCCTCTTTTAGTGATCAAAGAAAATACAAAAGAGTCTTTGAGATTATAGATAAAAGGTGGGATAGTAAGCTTCATAGCCCTGGACTTGTTTTGAACCCGGAACTGTTTTATGACAATAAAGAGAGGATTCTAGGAGATGAACCTTTGTAGAATGGATACTATGGATGTATTGAGAAGTTGATACATGAAGAATCCTTGCAAGATAAAATAACAGAGCAATTTAGTATTTATAGGAATGCTGAGCAACTTTTTGGAAAAAACATGGCGATTAGACAAAGAAAGACAAAGTCACCAGGTGAGCGAGTGCTTATATATTATTTTATAGTTAATAAGTTATTTCTTTATCAATATTATGTTTTGAAAATTTGTTCTACTTCTACAGTTGAATGGTGGAAGCAATATCTATGTTGCGCGGACTCTTCAAAATGCTGCCGCACCCGTGTCGGATCCTCCAAAAATACACTACTTTTGAAGGATCCGACACGCACCCGGCAACATCTTTGGAAAGTCCAAGCAACATAGAGCAATATGGTCATTCCACTTCAGATTTACAAAAGTTTGCCATCAAGGTTCTAAGTCTAACATGTAGCTCATCCGGGTGTGAAAGGAATTGGAACGTGTTTGAGCATGTAAGAACTAAGAAGAAAGATTTAGTATATTGAGATAATTAAATTATATCTCAATTGTCC